AGAACCGCCTCTGTTAATGCATTTGTAGGGGTGGTTCTCTTAACGAACCGTCTTTGAAAATAGATCACTTTTAGGGACGGTTTTGTAAAGAGGACCGCCTCTGAAGATCCATTTTTAGGGGCGGTTCTCTTAACGTAACCGCCCCTAAAAATAGACGTCTATCAGAGGCAGTTTTCTTAATAGAACCATCCCTGAAGATGTATCTTTAGAGGCGGTCACGGAGCTATAGTGCTCACCGGCATGGTTAGAGACGGCGTGCTAGTTGAACCGCCTCTGGTAGAAAAGGGTGGTGTCGCTAAAAATGATTCATGTAGTAGTGTAGGAATTATAATCCAAGTTGATTTGGTTAACTGAATTGCAAAACAATGTTTTATGACAACTTGCAAAGCCAGGCCGTAGTTCAGTTTTGCTTCTGTAATAGCCATCTAGCTTCTCTAGGATTTTTTTTCACCTGCAAAGCTAGGACGTAGTCTAGTAGTCATGCTTCTGCACCCAATACACAGTATGTATATTGTTTCAAAAATGATGATGCACATCACTTCATCAGACCACATAAACAGAAATTGTATTGTTATTTGCAATTCTTATGTATAATTATTAAAATAACTATGTAAAGAAATAAGCACATAGTTTTTCCTTCCAAACAGAAATTCTATTGTTATTTGCTCATGTGGTGTTCTTGATTTTGCAGCCACTTCCAGAAACTGTTGCAGTTGTGGAGGACATTGTTGCTGAATATGTCACTGACCTGGTAAGTTTATTTTGTATAGTTGTGTGTGAGAGTGCGAAGAAAATGACCCAGAGGTTAGATCATTCATACATGTAGCCTGTAGTTGTAGATACATGTTTGCAATTTCTGTGCCAGATATAGCAGCCCTCTTGAATGCTGCAGTTCATAAATTTTCTGCAGGAGTTTGTAGTGCACAGAACCTGAGAGTGCTGCATGATTTTTTTTTGAAAACTGAATGTCATTTTGCATTGTCTGAATATCATTGTGCTTTTTGTGATTTTGCTTAGCGTATTGGTAAACTTGTTGACTGCTATTATTATTCTGTAGACCCTCTACAAAACATTAGTGTGGTACCTGATAGACAAGCTGGAGCATCAATACCAGGGAGATGTGGGGTTGCAACGACAATGGCGAGGCTGCCGCTGTTGCTTCGTTCAGTACTCTGTTGGTAGTAAATGTTTAGCTAGTACTCATGGTTGTGCAAGAGCTTGTTATCTTGATGCCAAATAGTTTTTTTGGGTAGATGGGTGTCAAATGTTTGGATGTATTTATGTATTTCGGTATGTTGATGCAAGATATCTTTGTATGTATTGGATTTCATGTTATATATGAAAATCATTGTGTATTGCATTCTGTGCAAATGATATTAAATATATTGTTTTTTGAATTGTATAAAAAATGCTATTGCATTCATTATATGTATATTATTTTCCGGTGGGTAATTATCCTGGCGGTTTAACACTGACAAGGAAAATATTTTCTTGACTGTTGTAAGTCGACAGGGAAAGATCGATACCGACAGGGAAAGTGCAATTTTTTTGCCGGTTACTCAACCGACAGGATAAATACCCTTTTATTCTGTCGGTTTCTTACCGTCAGGTTAAACAATTATCCTACCTGTGTTTATGATTTTCCTGTCGGTGGCGGACTGACAGAACCTAACTTTTATCCCTTACGGTTTACAATCTGCCTGACGGTTTGGAACCGACAGGAAAATCAAAATTAACTTCCCTAACGGGGAACCGTCAGACATTTTCCTATTTCCCTGTCGAGTTAGCCCTACTAGTTATTCCCGCACCGTCAGGGAAATTGAATTCATATTTTCCTGACGATATTTTCTATTTCCCTAACGGTAAGTGCACCGCCAAGGAATTTTAGCTTTCCAGCAGTGAGTATGAAGGATGGACAATATGGGCTTGTTTGAATTACGGGAAAAAAATTCTTGTTCCTATGTTTTACCTGTGAAATTCCTGCATTCCAAACATGGCCTATATACATTTTGAATAACAATAGAGAGATGGTTACCGGTTGCATTGCATGAGCAAACCAGGAATTCTCTCTCTTCCCACGCATGCACGCGTGCGTCGCGCCGCCAGCTATGTTTAGTCGGGCCGGCGTCGACGTCGCGTGCGAATCGGGGCCAGTCATTATTTGTTGGCACGGCTCGCCGCCGGGGCCGGACACCTCGCCGTACCGCGGCGGATCATAAGCTTGTTCCGCTCCCGGCCGGCCGTAGGGCCGGCTGCTTGCTTGCAAGTCGCAGCTGAGGGGAGGGGAGGGGAGGGGAGGATAGGATGGTAGGAATACAGGATACTCCCTGAGACCGATCTGGCTGGGCCTTCAGTTTGACGTGCGTGTCTGTCCCCTGTCGGGTTTCTCAATTCGGCGCGTGTGAAGCACGTGCTAGCTGCGATTACTGAAACTCCGGTGACTGACTGCGTGCTTATATTAGAGTTAGGCTGTTAGAGAGATGCTCCGTCATTTAACACCTTGTACTACATTTTTTTTACACAAATACGTTGTAGTTGTAGTACTACTCCTTACGACTTACGTAGGATTTAATATTGCGCCCTGTTTGTTTGGGCTGGTTTGGCTTATAAGTCATGACTGAAAATACTGTTGACTGGTTTGATATGAGAGAAAAATATTATTCGTTGGCTTATAAGTCAAATGAACGGGGTGTGAAAAAAAGCATGTGCGTGATGAGGGCATCAGCAGGGATCAGCACACTGGAACTGGATGCGGATGCAGAGACAACCTGCATATGCGCCCGTAGCGGCCGGCCCGTGGGCTCCCTCCGCCCGCTCGCCCGCCGGTGTTAAATTCGATCGGCGTGGCGACCGGGTATTGATGACGACGCGGCTGGGCGCGCCCGGGGGAGCGGGTCGGGTCGGTGTCGGTAACTCCGGTTGTACGTAACTGCGCTGCCCGAACAATGCAATCTACGGTTGGTTGACGCAGACGATGCTTTTTTTTTAGCAGGCGTGATCCCTGGTATACGTACGTACGTACGTCGCCCCTATCCATTACTATACCACGTATATTTGAAAAGCCGTATGCTAGAGTACGTTTGCCGGTATATATGGACCTCCGCCGTTCGTTCCGAATAACGACGGGGTCGGCCGGCCGTACACCAGACACCTACATCTGCGCTCCGTCCTCCACGTATACGTACGAATACATGTACACACCCATACACACACTTAACGCCACCACACACGTCGCTGCGCTAGGTACGTGTACGGCCGGGCCGGCGGAAGGCGACCGGACGACGGACGGCGGAAGGGGACGTGCACGCGCCGGGCCTCCGGTGACCGCCGCGGGATGCCCGGCTTCGCCGCGCATGCACATGCCCGTCGCCGTTCTTCCTCCGATCCCTCTTGCAGTCTCGCTCTGGCCGGCCGGCCGGTCAGCTCTGCGGTCGCTGTCCGTCCGGCCCCGCAAATCACAGGCTTTTGGAACCGCATCACCTATTCGCTGCTGCCTGTTGGTGGAATGGAACGGTGGTTCGCAGCTGAAACGTACAGTGAGTGACGTGTCCTGTCCCGTTGCCGGCTTTGCCTGGTTGGTGGCGAAACGGCCGGGCTTGCAATCCCTGGATTCTTGACAAATGCGGCTCTTTTAATTAATTAGATTAGATTAGACTCTGCATCATCGGAATGGAGCAATGTTAGGATTAGTTAACAACAACTTCTACATTAGAACCGCTGAAAAGCCCTTGACTTGCTCGATCACGTACATGCGTTGCGTCTGTTTCCTTTGGCTAGCTAGCTGTCGTCGTCGTCAGACCAGACCTGGTTCGAACATGCTGAATCATGCTATGATGTCTCTGCAGCGTGTTTTTTGACATTTCGACCAAAAGAAAAAAAAAATTGGCATCTCCGCAGCGTGTTTATTTTTGACTTTGCGTGAATGAATATTGGTTATAGTGGCACAGATCGATGCTGTAGTTTTACGAAACCATGGGATAAAATAAATATAGTTTTAATTTACAAACCAAACAATAATATATCTCATATGGAAACCTCTATTTGAAAGCTTGTGTTATTATTTAGAGCAAGGAAGACTACGAGGAGAGCGTAGACCACAACAATGTTAAAGTTGGCCGGGTGGGGTGTTTTGGATATTGGTAAGATACCGTTTGAATTAATTTATTTTTTTCTTCGATTGGTTCCCTAATAAAGGTGTTATAGTCATTTCAAATCCAATTCCTTGCATATGAAATATATAAGAGGTATTTTTACTAGTGCAAAGTAAAGTTTTACAATTTTTTTTCTAACAATTAGTCATATTATTTGCCTGTTTAGGGCACAAAACTTCAATAATGCTTTTGTATTCAAAGTGTTTGTTGAATGCACGGGGGAGTTCCCCGGATACCGTTAAGAGGAGGTGAGGCACCCGCGTCGGACGGCGCTCGAACGCTGGCGGGCAGCTTGAGCACCCCTCAGCTCCCACATTTGTATTAGTGTCTCTAAGACGACTTTGGTTTTTACCGATATACAACATATATTGTAAGATAAAATAATTATCAAAATCCGTATTGCACAGACTTTCCCTCAGTCAATGCACGCCTTTCACTCATAGATGGAGGGAGTATCAAGCAATGGAATGTACTCACTTATTCAATTTCACTCCATATCCCATATGATATCCACATACCACTCAAATGTAAGTACAATTGCATGCCAAGTTGCCAACCTCCAAGTTATAATATGAAAATTAATATATTATTATGGCTAGTTACTTGATTAGTCTACAGCCTCCACCTGGCACTGACAGAATGCCAAGGAAACGCGGAGCCGTAGGGCCCACCTACCAGCAGGTACCCATCGAAACTCCAAAAAATAAAAAATAGAAAAGAGGAAGAAAACAAAATGTTTTCCGTCACATCATGCATGTGCCGAACCGTAACAGAGCAAAGCAGAGCACCGCTTCCTCTGCTTTCTCTTGGCCGCGAGGACAGGCAGACGTGCGCCGCCATGGACGGCGATCAGCAGCCGCAGCTCAGGTGATCCACGACGAGCTCCCTTATCAGCGCCTCGAACACGGCGGCCTCGACCTCGGCGCCGACGTCGCGGCGCTCGGGCTCTACGTCGGCGGCGACTAGCTTGGAGGTCGGGAGCTCGGACGCGACCAGCTCGGACACCCGTGCCAGCTCCTCCCTGTGCGCGTCCCAGTAGGCGGCAGCGGACTCGTCGTCGCGGCAGTGCTTGGGGCTCTTGCGGTAGTAGCACTCGTCCTCGTCGGCGGCGTCCCTGAGTTGGAGGTCCTCGGACATGGCGAGAAGCTGCGCGAGCAGCGCGGGGCTGTACGCCGCGTCCAGGAGGTCCCGGAAGACGTCCATGGTCACGGCAGCGCCCTTGGATGACGGGGACAGCAGCAGCTTGCCGTGGACTGAGGAGCTCTCGAACGGGTGGTCCAGGACGGAGACGGGGCTCAGCTGCTGCTTCTCGTCGTCGGAGTCGGAGTCGTAGCGCTCCACGGTGGTGTCCTGCGCCTTGACAGCGTCGTCAGCGGCGGCGGCGGTCTTGACGGCGTCCAGCTCCATGTGCCGCCGGTCGTCGAAGCACGGCCCCGGCGCCACGGCGGCCGGGTTGGTGGCCGTGGCCGCCAGCTTGAAGGAGTCGGAAAACTGCAGTTTGGCGGGCTTCCGCTGGGCCGCCGCCGCTCTGCTGCTGCCGCGGAGGATCTTGGAGAGCAGGAGCTGGAGGAGCCCGCCGGCAGGCTGCTGCTGCTGCTTCTTCTTGCCACCGCCGGCAGTGGCCCGGGCGGTCGCCTTGCTCTTCTTGCTGGTGAGGCGCCGGAGCACGGCGGCGGCGGCGTCGTTGCCGCCGGCGGCGGCGGGCCAGCAGAGCGCGGTGTCGTAGCCGTCGAGGAGGCGCGAGGAGGAGCAGCCCTTCTCGAGCAGGTGCAGGTCCAGGACGAAGGGCTCCTGCTTCTCCTCCAGCAGCTCCGACAGGCGCCGGCCGGACGGCGACGGCGACAGGCACGCCATTGCTTGCAGTTGTCGTAGTAGAGAGACAGAGAGTTGTGTAGTAGGCGCAGAGAGAGAGAGAGAGAGAGAGAGAGAGAGAGAGAGAGAGAGAGAGAGAGGTGTCTGCTGGACTCTGGACGACGTTGGAGTCTGGACTCTCTGAAGAATGAGCAAACCGAGGAGGAGGGGAAGGGGGCTGTGGATGCGTGGAGGGTGGGGAGCTTATAATGGAGAAGAAGATAGAGAGGAGTGGTAGTAGACAGATCACAGATGAGACAAGGAAGGAGAGGAGCAATGAATGGGAGACAAGGAGGTTGACAGCATATTCTTGTAAGCTTTGCTTGCTGCCTTCCTAATCCTGTCCTATTATCAGACAAGCCTTCATTTTCCTAATCACACATGGCTAAACAAAGCATTTTTCTTCTCGGTGCTGTTGTTTGGTGTGTTGCATATGCCCATTCATGCACGGAAATGGCTGACCTGACTGAACTCATCGTTGCCATGCCCGTGTGGGACATGGGAGTGGGTGCATTATGCATGGTGATCTGCAGGGACATGGGAGTGAGTACATAATACCCCTACTCTTATTTTTTTGTGTGTATGAAAAAAGAGGAGAAAGCTGAATGTGCATGCATTGCGACGGGGGTGCTGTCAAATCGCCAGGTGGAAAACTGAAAAGGTTGGGAGCCTGGGACTGGCAGGGCAGGGCAGTGTAGTGCAGGGCGTGAGATGAACGGCGCTAGGCCTGGAGTTGGTAGGGTTATTCAAGTGCACTTCTACTCGTACTACAGTGGTTTTGGTTTGAATCCTGATGGCAAGCAGAACAGTTATGTTTTCGGCAGCTTTTGCAGTTTTTTCGCCGAGGGCTTGTTTAGACGCCTAGAATTTTGGCAAAATAGCACCATAGCAGTTTTTATTGTTATTTGGTAATTAGTGTCTAATCATAATCTAATTAGGCTTAAAAGATTCGTCTCGTAAATTTCGTCTAAACTGTGTAATTAGTTTTATTTTTTATTTATATTTAATGCTTCATGCATGCGTCCAAAGATTCGATGTGACGGAAAATTTTGAAAAATTTAACATTTTGGAAGGGAACTAAACGGTACCCAAGTGTGCGTATCAGATGTTATGCAGGTCTGAGACTCGTAGTGCTCGTCTGAGAGAGCAAATAGGAAATGTTGCAGTAGTGTACTGTCGTATTTTCGTGCCACCACTACTTCCATTTCAATATGTAGCCGTATTCAGGTACGGTGTCCGTTCTCCATTTCAAATTTCAGCGTGCGTTTGGTCTGAGAGGACTAACAATGTCAGACGGGATCGTTCATTGTAGCTGCTTGTTTTTAACGATGAGATGATTTAGTTTTCTTTTTGTTTGGTTGAATTGATGAAGAAGGATGTGATGATAACAATTAACCAACGGTGGACCTAGGATTTTTCCTTAGGGTATGCCACATAAAAATTTCTACATACAATTCGGTAAAACTATTGTCAATTCGGTATAACCATATTCTAATTCGGTAAAACTGCATGCATTAAATAACATGATAAACCTTAAATTCAAAGGTTAAGCTAGAACTGACAACAAATTACGATATAAATAGTTTGGATGAAATACAAATGGTTTAGAATAGAGCCATAAAAGAGACTTACGATACCACTTGTCTGACTTAGTTATCCGTCGCTTTTTGAATAACATGAATGTTTCGATTATATATCTTTAAAGCATATATGGTTCGGCGAACTGCGTAAGAATCCGTAATCTAGTGATAATTGATCCACCGATCTGACTAATCTCCCAATACACAAATAATTATGTGAAGTAATTATGTACGCAAAAAAGAAAGAAAGAAAGAAATGATTCAGCGATGGGCAGGCGGCTGGCCGGCAAGGGAAGTAGGCAAGCTGCCCGACCTCTCGTAGTCGTCGTCGTCGGACGTCGGCTACTCCCGGACGGCCGGACGCCGCTGCTGATCGCCGATCGCGCAGAGCCGGAGAGCGGCGCGGTGGAGCCTCCGTGCCCGTGCTGCTGCTGCCTGCAGGTTACAGAATAGAATTGCCTGGATCGGCTGTGCGCCTCTGCCACTGTGGACTCTGGGACCGCTATCTTGATGGAGAAACTCGATTCTCGAGCCGAGGGGAGACCGAGAGACGTCGCCGCGTGCATGCGCGTTGCCATTACCGAGCGGGCGTGGAGCTGGTCGGCTGGAGCGGCGTCCGATCAGGTAGCATTTTTTTTTTAGCTGGTGAGTGTGTTTTTTTGGCTGCTGCTGCTGCAGAGCGCATGGCTGGCACCGGACCGGCTCGGCAGCCGCCTGCCTGCACCGCACCAGACAAGGCGCAGGCGGCCGAGGCAGCGCGTGGAGTGGAAAAGCACCGGGGCGGCCGGGCGGTGCGTGCGTGGCCCTGCCTGCCGACACCAGACTGGTGCAGTGCTGCTGCCTCCTTCTCCTCTGTGATTTGTCCTTTCATAAAAAAAAATATTTATTGTGATTTGTGGATCTGTGATCTTGTGATTTGTGATTGTCTGGAGATAGAAGAAAGTTGGAGGCTGGAGGTAGAAGAAGGGTGGAGGCTGTTGGATCTTAATTCTACGGTGTAAAAAAATTCATGTGTTGAAACTACATAAAACACATTGTTGTTGAATTTTTTTTTACACGTACTCCGGGAGTATACGTATACTACGCCTGCTGCTGGGCCAGTAGGTCCGCCACTGCAATTAACTACCCACTCTATTTCCAATTACAAGAATGTTTGGTTTTTCTAGATTCATATTTTTTGTTATTCATTTTTAGATATATACACGGCTCCTACGTCTAAAGACATAATAACTGTAATGCCTTTGGAAAAAGCCAAAACGTCTTGTCATTAGAAACGGAGGAGGCATTTAACTTGATGAATAGCAATGCTCTTCCGAAGAGGAATAGCAGCAATATAGCATGTTGGAACCCTCGCAGGAACGACTTAAATCCAATTCTCTGTATACTTGTTGCATTTGAACCAAACGCACGCTGAGTGAGGGTGAGGCCATGCGCTCCCCTTGCCTCGGATGCCTCTCAATGCCAGCGCGCCACCTCACCGGAAGCCCGCACACTCTTGTCCGGAGCTGAGAGGCCTGATCTGCTGCTGCAGAGCACGCCAGCGCCTCAGCGGTCACCTTTCGCCACCGTGTGCATGCGTCCCAAAATATTTTCTAATACCCGCGGCCTCCTAGTCCTAGTCCTAGGGCGCGGCTTCACGTCGCCTTCGTCGCCGCGCGCCGATCAGGCCGGCCGGGCCCCCACAAGATCGACACATCATCAGGTCATGATGATCATCACTTCATCTCAATTTTCTTGTAGAAATAAGAGGTTTGCAACTACTAAAAAAACAGAGCTGCAGACCACAGCAGACAGACCCGGCCCGAGTGGTGACACTTGTCCGTTTCGCAGCGCGCGCACCGCAGTACGTACACGTTCCTGGCCGGGATCCTATGTTATTATAATAATAATCGCAGGAGGTAATATAATCATGTGGTTTCCGTGGTTAGTCGTGGGCGACAGACAGCAGGCGAATATTATCTGCGTGATTGGGCTGCTGATTTGTCCGTCGCGTAGCATAGCATACGTGAGCGAATCCTCGGCGTGCCGGATGGAGCTCTGCCTGTAGCCTGTAGCCTGCAGGGAGACTCGCGCCGCTGTCCGCTTCCTTAGCCAGCTCGTCGCGGTGACCCAGACGGTCGGGGAATTGGGCTCAGAGTCGGATCGGCAACAGGACAGCACAGCACGCTTGTGTGTCTACGACAAGTCAATAAGATATTTATAAATGGTGTGCCTGGCAATTGTACGAACATTTCTTCTTTGAGAATACAGGAAACTGATCCTCCATGTGGATCGCAACCACATAAATAGCTTATGGATGCTCCGGAGTATTAAAGGAATTGTCACGACCGTTGTAAAACCTCACCGATGAACATTCTTATTGAAAGTGATGCTCCTTTCAAAACCTATTCCTTGCTACAATGAGTGACTCCGATTAATCATTCCTTCATGACTAATTCATGCTATCCTTCTTGCATGGATGATATAAATTTGCTTGCTACTCCCTATGCCAATTTGTGCGCAATCCATTCTCCTTTGAGAGACACTCTTGTCCAATCACTCTCAAAATCACCTTGTCAACATTGGAATTCTTGATCAAAGTGTCTTACCACAAATTCCTTGATGTCTTCCCTCACCTCGGCCTCTTTCAAATCTCAAGGACGAGATTTCTCTAAGGGGGGAAGAGTTGTCACGACCTGAAAATCGCTACAATTTGTCATAAGCATCTAGAACATCAAATACATCAAAAATTGAAAATCAACCTATGCTTAGCCCAGCCAAGACCGAGCACTGCCCGACTTGGCAGATCGTTCGACATCACCACCGGACCGTCCGTCAAGACATCTCACAGACTTGGAATAATTCTAGCCTGCACCTGCACTGACGGAGTGTCCGTCGCCATCGGTGGATTGTCCGTCGAAGCCATTGCACAGCCAGCCAACCTGGTGGACCTTCCGTCGCTACTGGCGAATTGTCCATTGAGATATTTGCATAATCGGTCAGCCAGTCAAGCACACCACCGAATCGTCCGTCACCCACAGTGGATTGTCCATCGACACATGTCGACACCTGTAACATGCAATGTGTTGTCCTGTCACACACACACCACACATGGCCCCACATGTCATTAACATCACACACACTACACACCCACCAGCCATCCACCCCTCCCTTCCATGAATGTGATGGTGGATTCGATCACCGACGCCGTGGAGACCGCCATCGCCCGCGGCAACCACGCCGGAGGCCTTCGCCGCTTCATGCTTTAGGGCACCATCCACCGTGCCCTTTGGGACATCTCCGACCATTGGATCCCTCCTCGCCGCTTTCATGGAGTCTGCACTGGAGGGAGCAGTGGCCGCCATTTGTCGCCGTGCCCGTCGTCCCCGCTGCAGTTCTCCTCCAGCGCCTGCCCGACGCACCCGACGCATGGCCTAGCCATGT